CACATTGAGCTGGGCATTGGTGTGGTGGCACACACCTTTAATCCCAGCACTCAGGAGCCAGAGGCAGGTGGAGCTCTGTGAGTTTCAGACCAGCCTGGTTTACAAGATCTAGTTCCAGGACAGCCTCCAAAGCCACAGAGAAACCCTGTCTCAACACACACACACACACACACACACACACACACACACACACACACACACACACACACACACACACACACACACACACACACACACACACACAAAAAAAAAAAAAAAAAAAAAAAAAAAAAAAAAAAAAAAAAGAAATGTGATTTCTCAGCTTCCTGCTCCTGCCGTCATGCCTGCTACTTGCCACCAATAGTTCCCTGTCATAATGGACTCTTCCCCTCTGGAACTGCCAGGCAAATACACTCTCCCTTTTCTAAGTTGCCTTGGTTGGAGTGTTTTATCAAGACAACGGAAAGGAACAAATACAGTCAGCAACATCAACATAATTAATTAATAATAGGTATAAACTATGCCAGGTTGGGTGGGTTCATTCCAAGTGTCTCTTTTAGGCTTGTGGCAGCCCAGGGGACAGTGACACCACTGTCCTCATTTTACCATCTCCTAAACTGACTTCAGGGAGACCCCACCCTGGATTGGATTCCCGGCACAGGCCAAATGGGTGGTGCTATAAAAACCACTTTTACAATAGAATTTCCCGGCACTACATCTTTAGCCAATTAAGCACAGCTATGCACATTGCCAAATTTACTTGCCCTCACCGGTCATCAGAAAACAACTGTATACCTCTGTGCTTAAGGCAGTTCTGAACTGACTTTGCTGAAAACCTGCTTTTTGCTTAAGCAGTTGCATTTTCCTGACCTCCTGGGTTCTTAAGGCCTTTTTTCTGCAGGAGAGCCCAGAAGGGGCACATTCAATCCTTGGTCAGTCACCATGGCAACCAACAGGCAGGCACAGCCTCCAGTTGGGAGGTGGGCCTGAAAGGCTGTGGGAGACACAGAGGTAGAGTCCTGGTAGGTGACTTCATGGCCAGTTTCCTTGGTAATCTCATCCATAAAGACACGGTTCTCTCACCAACACACACACACACACACACACACACACCCGTCTCTCTCCCACACACACACACACACACACACACACACACACACACACACACACACACACTCTGAGCTTTGTTAGTAGGAATGTTTCTCCTTCCTTTCTAGAGGGCTCCCTTTCCTCTCTCATCACGTGGCTAGCCATCTGGGCATATCCCTGAGGGGCTGCACTTGATATTTCTGGCTGTGGATAATGACACTGCAAGGGCCCATGGGGCTTGATGGGAAGCCTTCTACACTGCACGATGGGCACCCCCTGCTGGTGCATGTTGGAAATTCTCTCCAGAGGCCTGATGAGAAAGAGATCGTCCCTGAAAGTGTCTTGGTCCCTATCGTTTCTGTCAATTATGTGGATAACTGCTATTCGTGCAATTGTGTGAAATTTCTCTAAGTTGCCAGAAAGCTTCTACAGGTAAAATAAAAGAGCACACTTTTGGGCTCTGTTGCACTACTGGTACTGGCTGCTCAGGACTTGACAGAGCAGACACTGCTTAAGTCACTTTCAAGAGTTTCAGGAGAAGACTCATAGCCAGAGGGTTCCTGCTTGGGAGACAGATGAAGGTCAGTTTAAACGAACTATAGCCGCTTTTAAATCAGACATTAGGGTTTTAGTGGAAGCGGCTCTTGAATCAGATAGTTCATTCTGAACCCAGCGGTTTCTCGGTCTTCAACAGTGATTTCAGATCTCTGTGACTTCCTACTTATCTATACAATGATGGAGTGACAGCCAGGGCTTCTAAGATAATGCATGAGACAGGCGCTTACACAGTGCCAGCCGAGCCCCAGAGTTTAGCACATATTTGCTCCTGTCCTTGCTAGTGCTGACACGGAACCATAGTTTCTGAGGCTTTTACAGTCCAAAAAGCTAATACTTGCTTTCACATATGAGATTGTATTGCCATTTCCGGTTTCTAACATTTAAAATACTTTTCACTATAGAGATAAGACATGCTTTATTGAAACAAATGTGGAAACTGCCAACAAATACGGACACAGTGATGCTCACCCGGTGTGTCCACACCCAGCTTTTTCCTCGCTGGAGAAACTGCTAACATGTGTTTATAATCTTTTCATCTTTGGAAGTAGGAAACTATAATTGTAGGGCCTTGTATGTAAATTGCTTGGGGCTTGTTTATTCATTCAGTGTTTGGGCCAGAGGTTTTGGCTGAGTTCAGCCTCTGGAGGAGACCCTGTTTGATGGGAGGGTCTGCAGTATGTGCTCTGGACAGCTATGGGTGTTTCTCCACACGGGTGATCATGTTGGCTGAGGGAGCTGAGCTCACTCTGCTCTGCAGCCCTGCATCACAGTGAGAGGGCACCCTGGAGTGAGAGGGGACAGAGGCTGCTGTGAGAATCTTTGTATGTCTTTATTGCTCTCATCATCCAGCTGTCACAACAAATAACACAATAACCAAGCATCTCTCTCACCCCCTAAATGTTTATCATCTCTTAGTTTACAGAGTGGGGAGCTAAGGATGGAGGGAAAGGGGGTTTTCTGAGGGTGCTCCAAAGTAAAACCAGCAATGGGAGGCCAGAGTCTAACATAGCTTCAGTAATTAATGTTTCCATCAATGATGCTTACTTTATAACCAACTTTCTTCCCATTTAGACCAAACTTTCAGATTTAACTTAGATTAATAGATAAGATGATTGTTATTACTGTTTAAAGTATTACATTCCCAAAGCAACAAAGAGCACCATAAAGTATCTTAATAATTCGCAAAACCACATAAGAGGCTGGATACAGAAATGGACAATGGCCAGACCGTATATCAAAACAGAACACTGAACCAGGCATGGTGATACAAGATAGTAATCACGGAGCTTGGAGGATGGAAGCAGAAAGACCGGGAGTTCAACTACAGAGCAAACTTCTGGTCAGCTTGGTCACCCTGTCTCAAAAACAAATAAACTAACAACATCCACATTGATGAATCAGCTGCTGTCTCTAAGTCAGGCTTGGAGGATGCCACCTGCTCTCTGTCCCCAAACCCAGGAAGCCAAACAATAACCGGTGTAACAACCAAAATGGTCAAGACTTGATTAATAGCAGGCAACTTTGCTCATTTCTATGCCCACTTTAAACTAGGACTAACCAAGAAGGCCAAATACCGCACCCTGGCCAATATGTAACCTCCTGCTTCAGGGACCCAAGGCCAGAGCCATCCCTTCTCTCCACTAGGGTGCTATCTGCCCTTGTTCTCCTCCGAAAGGCAGGTGATAGCCACAGGCTCCCTTGCCTCAGAAGACTCGGAATAAATAGCCTTTGCTTGTCTTAGTTAGAATACTTTAAGTTTCTCATCAAAATCTCTATTCTGAAGTGAAACTGGAAGACACAACTCCATCCCTATTTCTACCTCACCAGGGATCTAGAGGCCTTCCCTGGACCTTCTCTTGCTGTGTGTTCATGTGGTAAAAGATGCAAGGGCAGAAGTCAAATGATGTGTCTTGTGCTTCAGGAAGCCTCCTGTGTAACAAGCCTGGATGCCTTTGCTAAGGGCAGCCTGCGGCATTAGTAGGAGGTCGTGGAACCTTTAAGATGATGGGCCTAACTGGAGGAAGTCAGGTCACTGGGGCGTGCCCTAAAAGGCAGTTACTGTGTCATGACTGATTTCTTCTCCATTACATCTGCATGTCATGTCACGGGAGGGGGACGAATTGCATTTTTACTCGTCATGTAAATATGAAGAACTACCCTCAAGCTTTACACTGCCACTACAATGGATGGGCGATAAGAGTTGAGGGCCTTTCCAGGCTCCAGTCCCCCTTCCTTCCTCCAGAATGTCTTCATCCTGAAGCTGATTGGGCAGACAGCACCCTAGACGATCTTTGAAGAAAGGTGTGCTGGTGTGCTACAGTGTGGGGAAGCAAGTATTCCAGGGAGTCCGTTGGATTGACCCAGGCAGATGCCGGAAGCGGGGAACAGGAGGACTGGGTAGTTTGGTTTGTTTGCTGTGTAGCTAGAGCAAGGGTGGGGAGCTTGGGCACAGACGGGGAGCCTGTGTGCATTTGGATTTCTGAACAGAGGAAGTTGTGGGGATGTTAGGAGGCCAGACGCGAGGGCAGAAAGTCTGGCTTAGTTGGGGAGTAGGAAGGTCTGAGCCTGAGATGACAGTATAGGATTGGGAAAGGGATCCAGAGGGTCTTGTGGCACTGGAGGGTCACCTCCTCCCTCCAGAGAAGCAAAGGAGGGCCCATGAGGATGAGTGGGCCTGTATGTGTGGTATGACAGGTTGGGCATTTGAGAGGAAGCCAGAGGCACCAGAGGAGGCACCCGAGGGAGGACAGGGTCACCTGCAAGTGACAGCCCAGGCGTCACCAGAGGAGGTGGTTGAGATGCTTAAACCTTACCCGGGTCACTGTGCCAGAGTTCATCGCTCCAGCATGGACGTGTTAACGGAAAACAGAAAAGACTCTAGTGTACACGTCTCTGGAGACCACAAGCATCTCAGTGTAGAAGAACCTGGAAGGTTCTGTCGCATTCCCTGGGGGACCCAAGGGACTGAGGCATGGCCTAGAGTTAAGACTCGCCTCTCGTCCTTTTGGGGTCCGCTTTTTAGGAGGCTCCTCGTGGCGTTCACAAACCAGATCACTGAGGACATTCCAGGTCCAATGACACTGTCCACGTTAGATGCCAGATCTGCGCTAGTACTAAGTCGCCAAGGGCTCCCCCGCCCCCGCTCCTCCCTCCTCCCGGGCGGTGATTGGCAGAGATGCCCTTCCAGTTGCTAGGACACTATCCCAGCCCTTAGTTCCTCCCACACCTCTCGTCTCTCCCTTTCTCGCCACCCTTTTAGGCTGAGAGCCAAGCAGTCCGGGCAGCGTCTCCATGGCGACGCGGGACGCGGGTGGGGGTGGCTGGTACCTGCTTGATAGAGACGCTACTCCGGAGATTCTGGCTGAGACCAGATCATGTCGGACTTGGGCTCCGAGGAGTTAGAGGAGGAAGGAGAAAACGATCTTGGGGTGAGAGCTCCTGGCCAGGGAGGGACTTCTGGGGTGCGCCGCAGCTCCAGAGCGGGAGGTGTGGGAACCAGAAGGTCGAGAGGCCGGGGACAGGACCATGCCGGCCACACCGGCAGCCGTGCGTCCAGGAAGTCGCTCTGAAAGGTGAAACGCAGTGACGTCTTGTTTCCACCCCCCCTCCCCTCTCCCATCCCGCCTCCCATTAAAGGCGAAGATTTCTAGGCAGAGGGCATGAGAAAAGGGATGGAGAAGGCTGCTTCCAGGCAACTCCTGCTCAGTGCTGAGGTGTCCCGGGCTCTGAAGATTTCACCATGTAGGTCTGGATCAGTTTCTCTGAACAGTCTTACCCCACTGGAATCACTTTTCTAGGGTAGACAGTAGAGGGGAGGCAAGGGACTCACAGCCAGTGGCGTGCTCTTACTTGAGTGCCTTGAGGGATTCAAGGCGTGGGCCACCACTGCTTGGCACAGCTAATACTCTTAACCACTGGGCCACCTCTCCAGTCCCAGGGTCAAGAGAGTTTGAACTGTAAGTCCTTTAATGGAGAGTTTGAAAATAAGATTAGTGGGGTATCCGTGTCTCCTTCCCCTCTGTGTCTCCTTCCCCTCTCCCTGGTAGTAGAACTTCCCAGTAGGACACAGAGCTCTGCAGACCACAGACTCTCAAGAAAGCCGATGAAGGAAGAGCCATTCTCTTAGGGTATTTGCTCTTTAAGTCCCGAATGACTGGAGAAAGAGGGAATTGTCTGTGGAGGCTGGGGACCTGTTCCACCTTTAAGTGTATTCCTGCGATGACATAGTGCACCTAGCATTTTCCATTCATTGATTCATGTTTACAATGTTAGGTTTAGCAATATTAACCACAGGCTCAGATGCTGGAGGGAGGAAGTGAAGCTCCGTGCACACTTGCTCTAATTGTGAGACCTTGGAGCAGGGCTCTACCCATCAGGCTTGATTGCGCTCCTCAGCAGTGCAAAGTGACAGGTGAATACAGTGCTTAAAGCAGGGAGGCATTAGTGGTATGCTAGTTGTAAAATGCTTGGCTTCTGTTTGGTGCTATTGAACAGAAGCCTCGATTAGCTTTATTTCTTCTGCCCAGGAATATGACGGGGAGCGAAATGAAGTAGGAGAACGGCACGGACGCGGGAAAGCGAGATTGCCCAATGGAGACACCTATGAAGGACACTACGAGTTTGGAAAAAGAAATGGCCAGGTCAGAACTGGTGACCTAGGAAGCTGGTTTTCTCTATTGAATATTGTCTTAGTGCATGCTGGACTCAGGACTGCCATGAACTGTACCATCGATGTGTTTCAGGGGGTCTACAAATTTAAGAATGGTGCCCGATACATCGGAGAATATGTTAAAAATAAAAAGCACGGTCAAGGTACCTTTATCTATCCAGATGGATCCAGATATGAAGGTAACGTGCCGTCAATCACCACGAAGGTGATTTTTGTTTTTGCTGTATAGGCTGTTTCTGTCGTTGAGCTTGTCTGTGGATACTAAAATGTATAAAAAAGCTTAAAGTTCACTAGATCAAAAAACGAGAGAAAGAAAAAAGAAAGAAAAAGTTCACTAGATCTACCACTCAACACCACCGCCACCAACAGCAAATGTGTTCCTTCCTCTATTTTCATAGAGGCTAGAAAGTCTTTTAAGTAACTAAACAGTTGACTGGAGCTGGGCGGTGGTGGCGCACACCTTTAATCTCAGCACTTGGGAGGCAGAGGCAGGTGAATCTCTGTGAGTTTGAGACCAGTCTGGTCTACAAGAGCTAGTTCCAGGACAGGCTCCAAAGCTACACAGAGAAACCCTGTCTCAAAAAACAAAACAAAAACAAACAGACAAATGACAAAAACAAACAAACAAACAAAAACCTATATGACTGGTCCTGTGGCAGCAATGCCCTCCTGTAAACCAGAGACTTAGAGTAAGTGAGAGGATTGCTGGGTGGGCACAGACTATGGGTATGGCCTAGACTCATGATAGCCTATGGCATCCTCCCTCTGAAGCTCTGGGTGTGGTCTCGACTCATGGCAGCCTGTGGCATCCTCCCTCTGAAGCTCTGGGTGTGGTCTAGACCCATGGCAGCCTGTGACATCTTCCCTTTGAAGCAGTCTTTGTTGTTTTCTGTTTTTGCCCATCTCTGATGATCATGTTTCTTTAGATCTTAGAGACCTCTTATCCGGGCATTTTGCCTTACTGTGATGTCTTTTTTCTCCAGTCTCCAGTTCTTCACATTCTAATGTCATGCCTCAGGAAGACTTAGCTTATTTCTAAGAACCTCCTGTCCCTATGTACCACTGTCACCCTGTGAATACAAGTCTAATCCCAGAGCCAGGACTATGGGAGAAGGCAGGAAATGGGCTGTGGTCCTTCAGAGAGTGGATGCTGATTTGTATGTCTGGGTTTTTCTCTACTGTCAGTTCCTCTTGTCCCCAGAAAGGGTTTTCTAGTTTCCATCTGATTTCCAAAAAAGATCTGTGCCTTCAGCTTTGATTGTGGAGACAGTAGGTGTGACACTGCTTGTCACCTCGCCTTGTCTCAGCCTCCTTATTGGCAGCATGCGGATGGAATAGATTGATATGTGTGTAACACCTATCAATGGAAATTCCTGCCTCCAGGGAATATTGCCAGCTGGTTGGCAAAGACCGTGATGCACTTTGTGTGAGAGCATCACCTTCCAATGAGGGTGGCATACCCTGAAAATGCAAGCTGTGCTCTCACGACTAGCACTTGAGATAGTCATCTTCAAGGAAAGGAAGGCTTATTTTGACTTTCAGGGATTTTAAGATTGGGTTATTTTTATTTTACATGCATGGGTGTTTTACCTGCTTGCCTGCCAGTGAAATACGTGCATAAATTGATCAGAGAGGCCAGAAGAGGACATTAGAGCCTCTGGTACTGGGGTTCCGGATGGCTGTGAACCACCATGTGGGTGCTGGGAACTGAATCAGGTCCTCTGCAAGAGCAGCAAGTGCTCTTAGCCACTAAACCACCTGTCCAGCCCCTGATTTTAGTTCATAGACATGTGAACCTGTGGCAAGGCAAAACACCATGGTGGGAGTCTTCCATAGACCCAGCTGCTCACCTCATGGTGGCCAGGAAACAGAGGGAGGCTGGATGGGCATGCCCCCCTCCCCAATGACCTGGCTTCTTTCACTAGGTTCTATCTCTCCAAGGTTCCATACCTCCCAACAATACTGTAGTTGGGGACCAAGCCTCCACACATGGCTTTCGGGGCCACCTATCCAAACCACAGCAGTTATTCTCCCTGCTCCAGATAAAACTAAAACTAACAGATAGCAAAGGAGGCAAAGGAAGGGGGTTCTCCCAGATTCCAAGATGGGGCAGAGACGTCTGTGTCTATGCATTAGACATGGGACTTAAATTGTTTCATTCCTAAACCTTAGCAGGCTTGGTCGACCAGAAGCACCATCTGCTTTTTAATGAGCTTTGAACAATTTGATTCAGGGCTTAATTTAATTCTTCCCAGATCCCTGGGAGGCTAATCTTGTTGTCACTTTTGATCTTAGTGTAGATGTTAATACAATTTGGGTTACATATAAAGAACATCAAAAGGGGAGAGAGGTGCTCAGGAAGTCTTTGTTTGAAGCAGAGTTGGGGATCCTACTAAAGATATTTTAGGGGCTGGAGAAATGGCCCAGTAGTTAAGAGCACTAGCTGTTCTTTCAGGGGACCCAGGTTCAATTCCCAGCATCCACATGGCAACTCACAACTGTCTGTATCTCCAGTTCCAGGGGATCTGACACCTTCACACAGACATACATGCAGGGGAAACACCAATGCACATAAAATAAAAATAAATTATAAAAAAGAAAAATATTCTAATATAGACTTAGGCCTGAAGATAAGGAGACACAGAGGTGTTCTCTGGTAAGACATACCCAAGTGTGGGTACAGTGCCTTCCCACTGAAGGAGGAGGTGTCAGGAATTCTTAGTGGGGAGATGAACCAGCTAAAAAGTCTACACACAAAACTGTGAGCTGAAGAATGAGTAATCACACCAAGCAGTCCTCCAGCTCTGCAGATGACGACTTTCCAAGGAGTCAGTTCAATCATGGCACCAGCTACCATAGCCTCAGGGAAGGCTTATCCTTACAAGGCTGTCCCCCGACTCAGATGCAGAGCTCGTGCTAGAAGTTCCCAGGTTGCTCACACTCTGCCCAGCTCATTGCTAACTAGGTGTCCCCCTAACCGTGTTTCCTGGCCAATGATCTTCTCTTATAGCTTGCAGAACTCACAGAAACACTATTAATTGTTTACTGTAAAGGAAACTACAAATAATGCTGATGAGTTGTCAGATGAATGGCTATGTAGTGTGAGCTCTAGAAGGGTCCAGTGTGAACCTCTCTTCCTATGAAGTTGGTGTGCATGGCCATGCTGGCATATACATGCCTTCCGCAACCCCAACTCTCATCAAATCCCACTGTTCAAGAAGTTTTAAGGGTTTAGTTGGCAGACTCCCCCTATTGCGCCCCCTACACACTCTCCAGGTCTGGTGAGAAGACCAAGGATGATGAGGGTAAGAAAGAACTGTTTAGAAAATTTCAAAAAAAAAAAAAAGTTAAACAGGAATACTATGTTTCTAAATGCCATTCCCGAGCCTTGATTCCTGGCCATTGAAGCCTGCAGCAGGCTGTAGCCCACCTTCCTCTAAGCAGCCACTCCATTGCATGGTGTTTCCTGGGCTGGGTGGAGCCTCCGACAAGTTTCTCAAGTGGTGCAGCATGTGTTCATGGGTCCTCACCAACATGAAATCTAGCATGTTTGCAGTTTAAGTGTCCGATTTCACTTTTGAAACATTTCTGCAAAATACATGTTTTTCTTGTCATGCCAGCCTGGAGCCTGGCTCCTAAGGGAGGGAGAAGAGAGATGGGTTCCTTTTGTTATGGTCTTTTTTGGGGGAAGGAAACCATCTGAAGCAACTGTTCCAGCTGTGGCCTCTTTGCCCCAGGGTGTGTTGCAGCAACAACAAGTATCTCACAGAGGCCAATTTTGCATTTCTTGCAGCTCCATAAACAGCTCCAAATTGGCCTCAGTGGGAATATTCATATATATATATATATATATATATATATGTATATATATATATATAATTTTTAAAGATTTTATTTACTTATTATGTATACAATATTCTGCTTCCATGTATATCTGCACACCAGAAGAGGGCACCAGATCTCATAAAGGATGGTTGTGAGCCACCATGTGGTTGCTGGGAATTGAACTCAGGATTTCTGGAAGAGCAGGCAGTGCTCTTAACCTCTGAGCCATCTCTCCAGCCCATAATTTTTAATTATCTTAATTTTTGGATTCTCCATCTCTCTTGCTCGTGTTTCCCATGTTATCATGGGACCTAGTCCTCTTTCTGAACCTGTATCAATTGCTACCCCCATCTCTGTGTATGTCTGGCGAGGCTGCTCTGTGCTGAGCCATCTGAAGTCCTGCTCTTGCCTCTACCCCAGGCTGCTGGTCACATCCGTGTTGGCCTCTATCTTCATCTGGCTAGTGGGGTCATGTGTTGTCCATTTGTGCAGATGTTCTAGCTCATAAGGTGGCCAGAATGTTTTGTTAAGTAAATATTGAAAAAGTGAGGAAAATTCTATACAATTCCTAGTTTTGGCTAAACTTTGGGGTTTGTTCATGAAAATGGACAGTTTGAGTTTGGATAATTAACATTTTGTTAGCATAGTGTGTGCTCTTTTAGTGTATATGGAAGTGTTTCTAGCGTTTGTGTAAGCCAGAAGTCTACACACATTCTAGGGTCCTCTTTAAGGGGAAGGATATAAAGTTGCTATAAAAGTGAATTTTCGCTGGAGAGATGGCTCAACGGTTAAGAGCACTGACTGTTCTTCCAGAGGTCCTGAGTTCAATTCCCAGCAACCACATGGTGGCTCACAACCACCTTTTATGAGATCTGGTGCCCTCTTCTGGTGTGCAGATATACATGGAAGCAGAATATTGTATACATAATAAGTAAATAAAATCTTTAAAAATTATATATATATATATACATATATATATATATATGTATGTATGTATGTGTGTGTGTGTTATATATGTGTGTGTATTTTATACATACATATATATATATATGCAAAAATAATTCACTAAAAAAAAAAAAAAAAAAAAAAAAAAAAAAAAAAAAAAAAAATTAAGTGCCATAAACAACACAGAATTTAAGCAGGCATCCTGGGGTGTGTTTTTAATTAATGGTAGACATCCTGATAGAATTCTAGAGTAGTTTTTTCCCCTACTGTTTTGGCTTTTCTTTAGCACTGGGGTCGAATCCGGGCTCTTCCACGGGCAAGGCAGACATCTTCTGCTGGCACTAGCCAGTATTCTTTCCATAAGAAAACAGTTTGCATTGTTTTCTGTAGCAAGACTAGAAGACTATTCTGTTCTTTTGAAACAAACTGATCTCAATTAGTTTTGAATTATTCATAATTCAATTCTAGGAAGTTTCATGCAGTAAGTATTCTAGAAAGTTCTTTCTGTGTGCTGTTTTGCTCTTGGTCATATGTGAGGTTTTAGGTAATGTCCACCTTGGGAACCCACTACTGGTTGGTGTCTTTCCTGTGTGAGCTGTAAGAGTTGGAGAGTTTTTGAGGGAGCTGGAGAGATGGCTCAGAGGTTAGGAGCACTGGCTGTTGTTCCAAAGGTCCTGAGTTCAATTCCCGGCAACCACATGGTGGCTCACAACCACCTTGAATGAGATCTGGTGCCTTCTTCTGGCCTGCAGGGCACATGCAGGCAGAATACTGTACACTTAATAAATAAAATCTTTTTAAAAAAAAAGAGTTTTTGAGAGACTGATTTCAAATCCCCTTTGGCTGACAACACAGTTTGTTTCTGACCTTGTTGTCAAGCCAAAGTGTTCCAAACTTCATGCTGTTTTTCCAGTGTTAGGGTTTTCCCTAAGGAGAAATTAGCAGGACCCACCCACACAGAGGGGAGTGGGCAGGTCACCCAGGCCAGGAAAGGGAACGTGTGAGGTAGAGGAAAGGAGCTGGCAAGAGGGCAGCCTTGGAACCAGGTGCTCAGGTGGGAGACAGAGTGAGTGCTGAGGCTAGACCAACAAACACACCCTGGAGATGGGGCTGAGTTGTCAAGCACCTGTAAGGCTAATGGAGTATGGCTGGGATCACTGGCAGTGCATCAGATGAGCTTGTTTGAACCTTGACAATAAGTGAACCAACTTGTAAAAGCACAAAAGTGACTGGGGCTCACATCACATGCATACACCCTCCAGATCTGTGTCCCTGGGCTCCTAACTTGGCCCTCCTTAGCTAGCTCTCCCTGAAGCTGGCACAAGAAGGGGGTGTGGAGGGAAGTCAGAGAAGAGAGAGACTGCAGGCTTAGCTCTATGGCTATAAGGTTATAAAGCTCTCTCTTTTGCAGAACACATTGCTTGGATCCTGTTGGACTAGCAGGGGCCATGGTATCAGTCCCTTCTTTTTACCTGGCTTTGTGCGTGTGTGTTGTCCTTTGCAGGGGACTGGGCAGATGACCAGAGGCATGGCCATGGCGTGTACTACTATGTCAATAACGACACCTACACAGGGGAGTGGTTCTCTCATCAAAGGTTTGGCTTCTACCTGTAATCTCGGGGTGAGGGTGGTGTCCATGTGTGGTGTAAGAACAGGATGGTGGCCACTTGGGGCTGTTCCTCGATGCAGGGCATCTAGGGGAGGTGCTGCTCAGAGCGGCAGAGGAGGGACGACTTCTCCCCATACTGGGCCAGGACACACGGACCCTCCGTCCACAGCCTCAGGGAGTGAAGACACAGAGGGTCAATCTGGTGGACAGAGGTCAAGCATCCCTTCCCCGGGGAAATTGGTTCATGTGCAGGCAGCCGGCCCCTATGCCTTAGATGATGCTGGCTCATGCTAATGCTAATGTCGAATGAGTGGGGTGACATGCCAAGCCTTCAAGTGGACACAGATACTGGAAACCAGTTGCCTATGAGCTGGCATCTACTTATGTCCCCCTCCCCCAGTCTTAGGATCAGTGCTCCATATTAGACAGTGACCATGTGCCCCTGTCTTGTCTTCACCAGGCATGGGCAAGGCACCTACTTCTATGCAGAGACTGGCAGTAAGTACGTCGGCAGCTGGGTGAACGGGCAGCAGGAGGGCGCTGCCGAGCTCATCCACCTGAACCACAGGTACCAGGGCAAGTTCATGAACAAAAACGTAAGTCAGTGTGCCATGTACTAACACTAAACATTCGGAGGGGGCCCTTCAGTTCCCACCAGCCGAGGACAGCTGCATTACTCCAAGCTCTTCTGATGCCCACAGAGCACAGAGTGGGTTGGGGTGGGGTAGAAGCAGATAGCTGGGCCTGTTTCCCTGAACCCCGGTAGCACTTTGTATCTCTATTAAGTCAGTGCCCTTGGTACCAGGGCGTCTTCTGTTGTTCTGTGTGTGCTCTTGTTCTGTGGTAAACCATGTGGAGTGGGAAGGCTATCCTAGAGCTCCCCTCGTGCTAGAGGCCAGCCTGCCATTCCTGGTTAGGAGGGCTTGAAGGGCCCAAAGTGTTTGCCCTGGGTCTGGAGACCTCCACATGTTCACCGGCTGCTGTTCAGTGGGCTCTGCCTGGTGGCTGTTTTGTGCAAAGTGAGCAAGATGAGGGAAACTCAATAATTGCAAGCCTTCTACCCAGGCATTCACTCCAGCTGGCATTGCTCAGGGGTGGAGGGAGACTCCCCAAAAAGAGAGTTTGCTGAGCACACTGATATGGAAGCTGACACGGGGTTTGGTCAGCTATCTTCATCACTTCTCTTCAGAGAAGTGCCCTGTTTCATTTACGTTAACTTAAGCCTCAATGGTTGGGGAAATCAATACTCTAGACTAGACAGTCTGAAAAGGGAGAGCAAACTTGGAGGCTTTGCTCTGTCAGTAAAAAGCTTACAGTTATACAAACCATGCAAGAACACCCAAATTGTAAAGTGTGTTATGCTAGCCATCACCCCACTCCCCAGCTGCCCCTCCCCTACTCCTCCCTCAGGACCTCTGTCCACCACACACACACACACACACACACACACACACACACACACACACACACAGAGCACTTATGCAGACTCAGTTTTGAGAGTTGGTGAGGTACCAGGACACAAAGGCACACGTTCTATCATTTTGCACATCTGGGCATGTGGGATAAAATGCAGAGATCCACCCTCCCCGCATCCCTGGTCTAGACAGAGCTCCTGCCTTGGCTCAGCAGGCCACACCTCGAATGGTCCCCCACGCGGCCATTCTGTTCCATAATACAAGCAAGCCTTTTGACCCGAGGAACCAGATCCCTAGTAGGTTTTCCAGGTGCAGGGTGAGGGCATCCCTTCTGCTCTGACCCTTAAAGGGAAAGGAGCTTCAAAATGGCCTAAGCTATGTTCCTTCTGTGTTTCTGCTATTGTTAGCTGGCCTGTTAGAACCCCACCCCACTCACCTGAAAACACGTTCCATCCTATAGATGGAGGTTGTGCCTGACCGTAGAATGAAAGCCAGTAGACTTAACTTGATTGTCATTTTGTCTTTTGATAAATGCCTTTATATAGACTGGAATCCTAGTTACCTTTCTGTTGGGTAAACACCACGACCAAATGCAGCTTAGGGAGGAAAGGGTTTGTTTCATCTCACAGATCATAGCCCATTGTTGAAGAAAATCAGAGCAGGAACTGAAGGGGGCAGTGGAAGCTCCAGCAGGGGAAGAGCTTGAAACAGAGACCATGAAGGAACACTGCTTACTGTCTTCTTGGGCCATGATTGCTATCTTTCTTATACAGCTCTGGCTCACCTGCCTGGGGATGGCGATACCCACAGCGGACTGGGCCCTCTTACATCAATTAACAATTAAAAAAAAATGCCCCATAGACCAATCTGACAGGGTGCCTCTTTACTGGAGGTTCCTTCTTCACAGGCATGGCAAGTTGACAATCAGGATGAGCCATCACAGCTAGATGGCAGGATTGCTGACTGTAACGGCTGCTCTTCTGAAACACCATAAACACGGTCCGTTGTCTTGAAAAGATGCACAATTTTTACTCCCTCACCAACAGAACCTGAGTCCCCATTGAGGGTTCTCTTGACACTGGATCTATCTGCTACATCCCTTGCATTTTTTCTGCCAGGCATCTTTTACCCTCTAAGCACTTGTGTTTCTTTCTCACAAGTTCTCCCATCACTGTCCTTGCTGATAAGTCATTTAAGCAGGATGAGGAGGGATGGAGATAGGAGGAGGACTAGAAGGAGATCAAGTCATTGAACACTCAGTCAGGACATTGCTGGCAGTTAATGAGGAAATGAGGGGCAAAAATGGGCTGAGGAACTAGATAACTAGATAAGCTCACCCCAATCACATCACTGGGTAGCGAAGTCTGGGAAGGTGACAGATGCTACTGTCAACGAACGGCTGAGGGAACCGCTAACGGCTATATTTTTGAAGTCTTAGTTGCTTTACCACTTTATAAAAGAGATAGGGAACAGTAAAATTAGTTTGTCCTTCAGCAAAGAGAGAAAGGTATTTTCCGGAAGGAATATTTAAATGTCAACACAAACGAAACTAATCAAAATAGGTGACTATCTACAGATGCAGAAATGAGGAAAGAGCCCCTAAGCAGACTCACAGGGAAAAATGGATTTAGTTTCACAAGAGAGAGAGAGAGAGAGTAATGATTAGCGAATTGACAGCACAGTGTGTCGGTGTAGGTATACAGCTAAGAGATTTGGAGCCACCCTGAGCTACTGAGACAGCGTCAAAATACAACAAAATTCGTGCTCATGTTAACGCCTGGACAAAGAACAGCGTTGGCATAGCAACGGTGAACACCAGTAAACAAGTATGGCACATTATAATTCATGGTCCAAGGTGAAATCAAACGTCAGCTTGATAACTGTTGATGTGGGAAAACATTTGTGAATCTGCAGAGTGGTTCACACTCGGTTTCTAAGTCAAAGTGTTGACAGTGCGTGTCACTGTGACCAGGTTTTTATTTAAAAAAAAAAACAAAACAAAAACAAAACAAAGACAAAAAAAAACAACAAAAAGAAACAAAACCAAAAACCAGTGAGGTGGATCAGGGGGTAAAGGGATCTGCTGTCAAGCCTAACAACTCGAATTTGATACCCAGGTCCCATACAGTGGCAGGAGAGAACAGACTCCTGAAACTTGTCCTCTGACTGCCACACACAAGCTGTGACATGTGTACCCCACTCCCATCACTGAGTAAATAAATGATTTAAAAATACTTTGCACTAAATCCAGTGTTACCACAAACATCAAATCATGGGAAGACAGCTTCTCTCTAGCCGGTCTGCCCATAGATTTATTACAGGTTCCACAGTGGCTATATTTCTGACTACTTTTTAAATGCAGTAAAACATGGCAAGAACCTTCAAAAACGAACCCTTTAACAGTTCCATTAGCCATCAGTTGATGAAAGCGTTCTTTAACCGATCTCAGACTTTGCACGGTGAGGTCACTCAGGTGGGCTCTCCAGGCATGGCACTTAGGAAGCCTTTTGTACTTTCTGTTCCATGTTGACCGTGAAGAATAAAGTGCATTGAGCTCCTTTCTCCCCACAGCCTGTCGGTCCTGGAAAGTACTTGTTTGACATCGGATGTGAACAGCATGGGGAATATCGCCTAACAGATATGGTAAGTTGAAGAATACACATAGCCTCTGTGTCCAAGGGCCAAATATCTGCCCGGTCACATTGATCCCACTAGGTAAAAGGTGATTGGCTTTGCGCTTGCTCCCGAGCAGCTCAGCTGCCGAAATGATCCATGTCGTTTCACAACGCCTGCAGGAGTCAGAGCTAAATTTTGTGGCTAGGAACCAGTTAACCTTGCGTCCCAGCAGGTGTAAGTCCCAGAATGGCAGCTGAATACAGTAACCGTCAGCACCAATGTCAGGTGGCTGTTCATGTCGCATGAGTGAGCTGCTCTTAAGGCCTAGTTAGTAAATAGATTCCTTTGTTACATTTAGCACAGACGTTAATACCAGATTGACAGTCTCTGGCTGGCATCAGTCATCATTCTTAGGCACTCATGTACAGGTGTCTAAGGGTGTCTGTGTGTTCCTGATGTGTGCACTCAGGCACAGGCGTGTGAGGTGTCTGCGTGTGTGCTCCTGATGTGTTAATGTCTGAGTATGCCTGGAGTGTTAGTAAAGTTCCATCTACAACTGTTCCCACCCATGTCCATGAGGTTTTGCAGACTTATTAGGTTGAAGTTTTGATCTCTAGAACTTTTAAAAATCTACAGAATTGAAGAGTTGACACACGTCTGAAAAATAAAATTTACTATTGCAGCCCAGATACAGCAAGGAGGGCCTAGGCCCTCCCCCAAATGATACGACAGACTCTGAAGGTCCCTGATGGAGGGCCTCACTATCCCTGGGGAGGAGTTGTGGGATGGGTTGGGGGGGTTGGAACATGGGAGGATGGGAGGGCAAGGGAATGGGGGGATGGATACGTAGATATGAGTAATAATTAAAGAATTTAAATGAAATAAAATTGACGCATGTTGGCTCCAATCCCTGGAGAAATTATATGTTTGTGAATGTTGACCTCACAGTCCACTTTTGTTGAATTTGATCTCTGTACCCATGTCGGGAGAGCCCCCGTGTTTGTGCATTTCCCTGCCATCATGTGGACATCTTAGGACTTTAAGTGGGTGTTACTTTATGATTTACATGCAAGAGCTTGGGACTGGAGAGTAGTAAGGTTTGAAACCCTTGTCTCCTCCATCATCCTCAGCTTCTGAGGGACATGAGGAGCCTGAGAGCCGCCCCCCGCCCCACAGTGTCTTGGCTCTGCTCTGTGGCTTCCCATCTTGTCTGGCTCGTGTCAGATCTGTCTTCAGCTCTTAGATGATGCCACCGGTAGTCACAATTGTTCTGGTCAGGAATGGTGTCACCGAAAGGCTCAAGCCCCAGTTCAGAACCCATCTATTTCCTGTGGGCATTTAACATTCCAGACCAGATAATAGCAGTATTGATGACTTTGTCTTTTTGTACTTAAAATAGGAAAGAGGAGAAGAGGAGGAGGAGGAGGAGGCATTAGTGAGTATTGTTCCAAAATGGAAAGCTATCAAGATCACAGAATTGGCGCTGTGGACTCCGACCCTCTCTGAGGAGCAACCTCCTGCTGAGGGAGCAGGCCAGGAAGAAGCACCTGGAGCTGCTGGTACAGAACGCCCCGGGGTTGTCAGGGCAGGCATCCAGGGTTGTGAGGGCAAGTGCTCCTGGGTTGTTAGGGCAAACACCTTGGGGTTGTTAGGGACATGCCCACCTGTCCTCAGCCCTGATGTAGCTAGTCTCTCTGGGAAATGGCCTCTGGGTCAGTTTGAGTGGAGGATGCACTAAGGGCAAGTGTTTGGGGTGGGAGTCTCCCAAGGAATAGAGGGGAAGAATGCAGACCAGCTGGATGGAGGATGTGTCCAGCTATGAGGTAGACCTCAGCAACCTTGGAGGATTCCCCAGCAGCCAGAGTTCACTTGGCAGTGCTTCTCTGTGGGTGTGACTTGGGTTGGGCAGCCAATAGCAAATAGGGCCACATATCCCTGTTGGAAGAAGGATGGGGGCAGCATTTCTCTGTATCCATTTTACAGTGGTCTTGGGGAGAAAGTTGGGAGATGGGGCAGGGTGATCTGATGGCCAGGCCTGGGCTGGAGCCTGGGGGCTGGGAAAGGAGGCCCCATTCTCAGGAGCAGGAGACATTGCTGGGCAGACGAGGGGGCCCACTTGACACACATCTGCACTCATGTTCCCTGGTGACCTCACTTGACCATCCATCACTGTCTTCATCCCAGGTGCGGGTGAACCCTCAGATGAAGCCCAGGGTGTAACAGAAGGTTTTGAGGGCGAGATGGAGATGAGGACCACCGAGGAAGACTTAGACACGTTCAGAGAGGAGGGCCGAGAGAACAATTACGACATTGACCAGGGTAAGAATGTTTGCCCTGCAGAGTGGGCGAGCCTGTGTGAGGCCAGACACACACCTCAGGAGGAGCAGGCTTCTCCTTCCTCCACTGCACTATCCTCAGGCCAGGGCAAGGGGCATGAATGAGCCTGGGGAGACCAGCATAAGTCCACCTGAAGTCCAGCTTGTCTCCCAGTTGAGCCCGGCCACGGCAGGAACTGGCCTGGTGTGACCAGTTCTTAATGCTTTCCCCAGAGGGGGAAAATTAGATGTGGTTGGGAATAGTTCTGTCAAAGTGGTTTAGAGAGAGAGACAATCTAGAAACTTAACCCTCCACAGTCCACAGGGGGTGGGGGGGTGGGGGGAGTCCCACCTTGGGTTCCTTGGAATCTTTGCAAAATCTTTCCCCACCGGGGTTCCTTTGATTGAATCAGATGGACCTCTCATCTCCTAGGGTAAATCTGGTCTTGTTCTCAGGAGAGGGCTTAGGGACAGCCTGTGTACCCGAGGCTGCCAACTCCCCTGGCTACAGGGAGCAGCCTGGGTAGAGTTTCTATTGCTGTGAAGAGACACCATGACCATAGCACTCAATTGGGGCTGGCTTACAGTTCAGAGGTTTAGTCTGTGATCATCGTGGTGGGGAACAGGTGCTGGAGTAGGAATTCTACAATTGAACCAAGAATTCTACATCCAAATTGGCAGGTAGGCAGCAAGAAGAGTGAGCCACTGGGCCGGCCTTGAGCTTGTGAAACCTAAAAGCAGCTCTCCCCCCCCACTCCCTCCAACAAGGCCACACCTCCTAATAGTGACACTCCCTATGGGTCTATGGGGCCATTTTCATTCAAACCACCACTGGGCTCCTTTTGATTTGAATTTGGCTGTAAATTAAGAATGAGCATATTTCCCATTCTTTAAAAAATATTGGAAACAAAATCAGGCAAAACTAGTTTTCTATGTAACGCGTGGACTTAGACTTTTCCCAGCAATAACTAATGTGAACACTGTAATACCTAAGAGGCAGCATCCGTTGAGCAGGCTCTGACAGGTTACACCTGCACAATTGCATACACCCCTGGGTGGTTGGCACACACAGTGTGGGGTGGAGGGGCAGAGAGGGCATCCAGAGCTGTCCCTGTCCACGATTTCACTATGGAGTGTTAAGGACCGTCACCATGTTTCGAGGAGAGGTGACAAATCATCCAGGACAAGAACTGGAAATATTTCCAGGAGGGATCAGCTCCAGATGATGGAGAGGCTGAGAGGCAGTGAGAAAGAGCAGAATGGGGGTGGGAGGAGATTCCTGAAGTCTGGGGGAGGGGGTCCTGGGGGAAGGGGTCAGGGTCTTCTCCTGCATCCTCTCTCGACTTCTCATGGTGGACTTTGGACCGGATCCTCAGATCTGGGCGTGTGACTGAGGGGCCTTGGGGAGCATTCAGGCTCGAGAACCAGGGGGACCAGTGGAAGATGAGCAACCCAAAAACCAATGTAGGAGTAAGAAAGAAGGGGTGGAAATAAAGATGAAGAATGCTTAGGACCAGGTCCCGGGAGGCTGAGTTTAGTGGATGATGTCTGGTCTCTGATAGGAGGAGGAGCCTTAGCTCAGGAGCTTGTCCCTGAGTCCTTTGCCCAGGGACCCGAATGCCTGCAGGAAACAGGGCTAACTGCTTAAACAGCTGTAATCGTTTTGTTTGTTTGTTTTGTTTTGTTTTTAATCATTAACTTTTATGTTTCTCTTGCGTTTTCCTTTCTTCCCAGGAAATGTGACCCTTGACGAAGAACAGTCAGACCTCCAGGACTAAGATGGAGGGGGTGAAGAACACAAACACACCAGCCGTGCCTTAGTTAATCCAGTCAGCTGGGGTTAGCACCCGACCAGCTGGCAACCTTTCTTTCTCAGTTGTTAGTTTTGTTGTTGTTGGAAATAAATCTCCCAGTGTTCAGTGTTTGCGAAGGAGCCTCCGCCACAGCTTCCGTGGACTGGTTTCCAGCGGCTTGTGGGCATCCTCCTCGGAGGGGGTGAAGGGGTGTGGACTTCCGGCGTGCCCCTCTCTCCCGTGTGCATCCAGAGTGTGCCCCAGACTCTGTAAGAAGGCCATCTGCCTACATCCTCAGGCTCTCTCCTTCCCAGGATGGTCCCTGCCATAGGCTGAGCAAGCCACTCACAGGCATTGGTGGTGAGCGCCCCCTTCAGGTTCAATGGCAAAGTGCAGTTCCCTGCCTAGTTCATCTTGGTCAAGGGCCTTATAAACTCACACGTGGTGTCTCCCTTCCCTCCCTTGAACTGTTGTTCTGTTTCCTCAGCATTGTTCCTGGGGCTAAAGCAGAAACCTCGAATCGCATCCCACACAGTTTCACCTCCTCTTCCCTCCAGTTGCTCAGAAGTGCTTCATCTCGCCCAGTGAGATGGAGACAGTCAGCTCCAACACTGAGCCGTGGCTCTACGCACAGCAGGCTCCGAGCTCTCCGGACTGCCCAGCACATTTCTTCTCATTGTCCCCTAGACTCTGCGGGACAGGGTGCTAGGGAATGGCAGCATCTGCTGCAAACAATCCATCCATTCCCGCATCTCTCATTTCCTGGAGACATTGCTGCAGAAGTGTGAAGCATTCTGGGTTCACCAGGGTTGACTCATCCTTGCTCAGACCTCAGTCAGTAAAATGGTGACTGATTATTGGAGTCTCTCAGTATTGGAGTCACACAGTAAGTCTTAAATCCCAGGTGAGGACGCCACCTCAGAATAGCCTACCCCCTAGCTCCTCAGGTCCTCAGCCTCCTAAAATCACCCCACCTTGCCTCCTCATAGTGTCTCATGGAGCATCTGCTGGATAAAAGATTTATTGCAGAGGAATTTTCTACTATTTGGGTTTTTAGGAATATAGAGAAACAGATTACACAAATTTCTGGATTTTATGACCTTTATGAAAAATGCAAGACCGATTTTTTTCATAAGTTCAAGAAAGTTGTGGACTTAACAAATTGCAGGCTGTGTTATCAACATCATAAAGCGTGTTGTAACTGGGCTACAGGAGTTTCATTACCACATTAAAAACAGCAGCTGAGACCATACATTGTGCAACGATACTCAGGGATTATCCCTATTTGCTTATTCTATGAACACGGTTATTAGATGGGCTGCCATTAGAAGACTGTTTGGAGTTGGGGCAGAGGGCAGACAATCCAACAAGGTCAGCACGGGGCATCCTGAGACTGTGCCCTGGAGAAAAGGAAGGAGGGCAGAACGATGGGAGGAGGGAGGTGGGTGGGGGCCCAGGAGTTACTGACAAGAACTGAAGAGAGGGGATGACTCACCTGGAACTCGTGGAATGACAGCCCTGGACTTCTGGTGCCACAGCAGAACCTGGCTCCCGTGAAGGAATCTGGCTAACAACACCTTTCCCAACTGCTCCTCCAAATAGCCCTTAAGCAGGGAGTCAGTCATTCAAATACTGTAATAGTCACGTGTGCCGTTTTACTTTTTGGCTTTTTGGCAGGCGCAACAACCAGCTCCCAAATAAATCACACGTGGAGGCTTATTCTTAGTTATGAATGCTTGTTTCTTGCCAGCTTTTAACTTAAATTATCCCATCTGTCTTTGGCCTTGGAGCTTTTCTCTCTCTCTTTTCTGGTATACCTTTTCGTTCCTTCTTACTCCATGTCTGGCTGGGTGGCTGGGTAGCTGGGTGACTAGCTCCTGAAGTCCTCCTCCTTCCCTCTCATTCCCAGATCCCTTTCTCCAAGATTGCTCTTCCTCTCTGCCTGCCAGCCCCGCCCATTCCTCTCTCCTGTGTCGCTATTGGCCGTACAGCGCTTTATTAGACCATTAGGTGTTTTAGACAGGCACAGTAACACAGCCTCACAGAGTTAAACAAATGCAGCATAAACAAAAGCAGTACACCTTAAAATAATATTCCCCATCAGTCATGGACACAGCTGAGGAGCTCCATCACTGCTGTTGGTCATGGGACCATGGAATAAACCTCTCTGTGCTTCTTCTAGTCAGAGGCATGGATCATGCTAAAAGCTGCCCTCTGCTGGACGCACAGGGAGACTTGGGTCAGTTACCACCTGTCCTCCCCCTCAGGTACCTGGTTTCACAAAAACATCACTGTACTGCCCCTTTGTCTCTGCCCCCAAGCTCTGATTGGCAAGCATATGTATGGTCCATACCTGCCCTCCAGTTATTTCCCTCTGTGAATGTGGTTAGCTGTGTCCTTAGAGTTATGATAAAGCATGTGGGGGACCTTGGCAGAGGTCATGGCACCAACGTTAAGATAAAGCTTAAAGGGAAACTTGCATGGATTCCATGGTGGGGAGGATGACCAAGACAGGGACAGACAGGCCAGGCAGACAGAACTTAAGTAAGAAGTTTATTAGAAAGGAGACAGAAGAGAGAAGGAAAGAGAAAAGACGTAAAGAGACATAGAGGACAGAAGAGAAGAGGGAGACAAGAAAAGTTCTGTCTGTCCCAGGGGAACAGTGGGGAAGAGAGCGGGAAAGAGAAGAGTGGAAAAAGAGAATTGGAAAAGAGAGCATATGTGGGCATGTGTGTGTGTGTGTGTGTGTGTGTGTGTGTGTGTGTGTGTCTTTCTTTTAAAGGGGTCCTTTGCACCTGTGTGCAGACTGTGAAATCATGGAACCCTAGGCTGACCAAGGCACTGCCTGAGTACATTCTGCCAGGTGACGGGGCAGGCCAGCATAATGCCTGAGTCCTTACACTTAGGGGACTGCCTGTCTCACTCAAGTGCCTGGTTTCTGTTCAGTGTTATATTTTCACATCTGTGATCTCAATGGCGATGCCCCTCCCTGGTTTTGATGATTTGGGCCATGTCTCTTTAGCTCTGATTAGACTGGCTGGGGTCTGGAAGTTTTCTTGATCTTTTTGAAAGCACTAGCTTTTGTGTTGTTTGATTTTAACCTTTTTTTTTTTCTGTTTTCTATTTCAGCCCTGGTCTTTGAGAATCCCTTTCTTTTGCTCATATTGAATTACTATGTTTTGCATGTTATTTCTAGTTAGGGTAAGGCCAAATATTTCCGGTTTCTTTCCAATAATGACCTCAGTGTGGTATGAATTTCTGTCTAATCTGTCTATGAATTTCTGTGGCATCCTGCAGATTCTGATAGGTTGTATTCCTATTCTTGATCAGTTCAAAAACCTCGCCAGATGAAACAAAAAGATTTATTTATAGTGTGTGACTGCAAATGTGTGTTCACACCATGGCATGCCTGCAGAGGTCATAGGACAACGTGGGAGGCGGTTCTCTGCTTCCACCAGGTGGGTTTCCGAGATGGAACTCAGGCTGTTAGTGCCGCTGGCAAGCACTTTAGTCCTGCTGGCAAGCACGGCTGACGGCTGATGGCTGATGTATTTTACCCACCCCTTTTGCCCCTTTGGTTTGGCCTCTGACCCAGGAATTAGCTAGAGATGTGTCATTAGCTTGCAAATATGTGGGTCTTATTTTTAAGTTTTCTGTCGTCATTTCTAACCTAGTTCTTTTGTGGGCAGAAAATATATATCCCACAGTTCAAATGCTTTTACATTTATTACCATTTGCTTTATAGCCCAGAATGCGGTCATTCTGGCGAACAGGCCGTATTGTGCTAGAAAAGAAAGTGAATTACACTGCTGTGTGGTGCGGTTCTCCCTAAGTATTGATTAGGTCAAGTTGATTGGTAGTACTGCCGGGTCTTTTATGTATTTATCGATTTTCTTTCTGTGTTTAGTGACTTCTGAGAGCTATGAAAACCCATGAAACACAACTGCAGATTTTTCTACAGGTGGTTACAGGGTTTAGCGTCTTCTATTGCCCGTTGCACATTTCTTGAAGACTGTGATGGATGCCCTACTTAGCATTAGCCATCATCTGGACACAGCGCAGAATCACTGAAGAAGGGGTCTTGGCTGAGTAACTGAGTTTATCGAGTTGGTCTGTGGGCCTGTCTGGGTGGGGATTGTCTTGATTGCTAATTGATGTAAGAGGGCTCCACCCACTTTGGCTGGTACAATCCCAGGCAGGTGCTCCTGGGCTGTGTAAGAAAGCTAAGTGTGAGCCAGCAAGCAGTGTCCCTCCAGGTTTCTGCCTCAGGTTCCAATCCTGACTTCCATCAGTGATGGGCTGTGACCCAAAAGTGTAAGTCAAACACCACTCTTCTCCTCAAGGAGGAGCTATCAAGTGTTCAGACACAGCCTGAGGGGGCTCATTCTAGAGTCAAACCTTCCAGCATGTGTGGCAGAGAAAGGGTTTCCCTTCTAGATCACTGAAGAGTTGGAGGGACATTGGCATGGAACATGAGGATCCAAAAATGTTAAATATCTGAACAAGGGTGGAGAAATGCAAACAGAACGAGAAATGGATAAATAGTTCAGAATTCAAAACACCAAGGGCTAGGAGTGTTTTCTCACAGCAACAGAAAAGTAACAGCCGCAGGGAGCATGTCTCGTCTTACTTGCTTTATTGCTGCCCACAGAAAATGGCAGTGGGTTTGCGTTATGTTTCCCCTCAGGGTTTGTGGCAATTTCACAACAGCACAAATCTATTGAAATCTACGGACACCATTTCCCCAACAGCTCAGATGGTTGTTACTGTTTCCTTTTCAGCAATACTTTAAAGTATATACATTGTGTTTTAAAACACCTCGCTATCATACACTTAATAGAGGACAGCATGGCATAGCCTTTGTGTATGGAGGGGAACCAGAAATTCTGTGTGGTTCACTTTATTGCTTTATGGTGGTGGTGCGAGAGTGAACCTGTAACAGCTTGAAGTCCCTGCCTACTGTTGCTGGTTTGATACCCAGTGTT